GTCTCGCTCAAGGTAAGAAATTTCCCCTTTAATTCGTCAAATTTTATTTAGGTTTCTTTTTGGGATTCTGAAACGGGGATAAAGTTTTGATTTGGATTTTGAATTTCGATTTGGGGATTAAGGGATTGTTAAGGTCAGTTCTTTTGTGTAATGGTTTAGGGGATCGTTGAGGTTTGTATTGTAAAGTGTTTGGTGCAATGTTGGACTAAGCCTCGGACTAAAATATTTTAGACCCAATATTTTTGTTAATAGGAGAACAAATGCAACGCTAGATTGAGAAGCAAATGCAACACCAAATCCATCATTTCCAATTTCTAGGTTTGCAATCGATACAAAACCAAAAGATCCAAAACTCCAGAACTAAACCTAAAACAAACAAACAAAATTTAGAGAATGTTCATGCTCCCCTAGTTTCCAGAATATATGTATGTACACTGCCAAGCAAACAAACAAATATATGTATGTACATTGCCTAGCTTCATATGTTATATTTTTGCTGAAGGAATTTTTAATTATTTTATTAACATTACAACTATATTTGTTAAAGAATGTTCATGCTCTTTTAGTTTCCAGAATTGACTAGTCTGAAGGAGTTATCACTCAGTGTGTATGCAAGAGATAACCGTAGCCTCCTTGATTTGACTCCCCTCATAGAGCGATCTCCTTTGTTGCATAAATTCACATTCAAGGTAACTAAATCCAGCATGTCTTTCACCCTAAACAATGGAAAACTGAAAATTTAGGTTTGTCACACTCTGCAATCTCTTGGAGAGGCAAATTTATAATACATGTCTAGGATGAAGACTGATATGTGTTTGGTATGTACTAGCTAAATTGGAGATCATCAACTATACGCCGAAGAAAGATAAGGAAGCCTCGTGTATGCCGTCTTCAATGCCTTAAAGTGGTGAAACTTTCTAGTTTCGTGGCGTCTGTTATGGATACCGAGCTTGCCATGTACTTCATTAGGAATGCAATCATGCTTGAAAAGTTTATCATTGAATGTTCCACAAAACTGGACTTTACCACCCAGAGTCAAGTTTATTGTTATGTGATTCATTTGTTTGTAGTTTATATTATCATTTTCTTGCAATAAAGTTGATACACATTGTAAACTCAAAATGAAATGTTTCTAAGTCACGAAACTAAAGCCTATATCAACTAGCCTTCCGTAGTTATTTATTTCACTATTTTGCGTGTATTTTTGTTTTACAGTAAAATCATATCTATATGGAATGGAAGAAGAATTAATCTTAAAAAAAAAATTCTAATAAAGTTGCAGTTTTGAGCCATGGTTATTTATTTTAGTTCAACTTCAATGTAGTAATATTTGTTTTAGCAAAACTTACAAACAAGTTCGGTGCTTATGATCTCGATGCTATTTTTTTGTGACTCAATTGCTCTTTCGACCACAATTTTACATTTCAACACAAATAAAAAAAAAAAAAAGAACCTTTTAATTCTATACTATTAATTATATTATATATTATGTCCAATTTTTTTCATATGGCCTTGAGGCCCCTCCTAACCTCGATTTCTAGCTCCGCCACTGATGATGATTTGTATGCTTAGCATCTTGGTTTAATTACTTGGGATATTGTGTCTGAAATTTTCATATGGCCTCGAAGCCCCCTCCTAACCTTGATTTCTAGCTCTACCACTAATGCTTTATATGCTTAGCATCTTGGTTTAATTACTTGGGAAAGTAGTTTTTTGTATAGTCGTATTCTCCCACTTCAGTTTGATTCATTCTAAATTTCTTAAAAAATATAAATTGGTTTGTATATAAAAATATTTATAATTATACGTTTAATCAAATTCTTAAGATATTAATTTGTAACTTAATATAAACCATTCCTGTTTGAAATAGATCACAATTGCTAGATACAGAATGCAGTTATGTTAGTCCACAGTGCTTTACAACGACCATTACATGAAGGCACGTTGATCAAGACAAGATATTTGTTGGAATAGATATTTGTTAGTTGAGATATTTTTTGAGTGGTTAGGAGGAAGCCACATCACTTTCTCTTAGGGACCACATATTTGAAAGGTTGTTTTTTATATAAAGAAAAAATGGTGCAGAGAAAGGGGGGATTGAGTGGGGAGGAGAAAGCCTACGAGCCTTTTTGTTTCTCCCTGGCTAGAGAGCTTTGAGCCATTTTCTCATGTACAATTTGTAAGTAATCTCAACAAATATATACACATACCAGAATAGATGTTGGCACGCCTCAACTCTGATATCCCCAAATACCAGGATAGGCATGTGTTGGTCGACATCCGTGGGTAACAAAGCCATTTTAACATACATGCAAGTGGTATCGGTGAACGAAAGTAAATAAAATATGTAAATATACAGAAATACATAAATGCGGAAACGTGCTCAAATCATACAACTAATCAAGAATAATGTGAAAGAATTACTATTAAAAGGTACGAACAAAGGAATGGGTCCTATACTGAGAAGACTCGAAGATATCTATGAGAAAGTGCCTTGACGTATGGATCGTACGCCTCGATTCTAAATCCTTAAGGGGGTGCAAAACAAAGGGTGAGTGGACCAAAGTTTATAATAATAATACTAATAGAAAACTGTTTTCTTTCTGAACATACTAACCCACTGTTTTGAAAACATATGTGATACTACGTAATAGGTTTTTCTCAAAACTCTAGCATGCCATGAAAACGTTCGTAAAACATGTACGTGTAAACCAGTGTTCAGTAATGGTAATATAGCCGCCCAAAGGCAAATCTATAAAATCTTTGTAAATCATAAGATATTGTACACCCGAAGGCAAATCCAAGAATCTCGGAAATCAAAACAATTATGTACTTAACCAGGAGTATCATAGTCACCCGAAGGCATAACCATCACCCAAACATGAAGTTGTATGACACTGGGTTACGCTAATGAAAAAATATGTTAGGTCCCATCACCCAAAAGTGAAGCTCTACGACTCTAGGGTACGTCAATGAAGAAATATAACTTAACATTCCACACTACAGTGGCTAAAACCCCAATGTCAAACAATAATGTACAAACATCTGCAATTAAGACTTAAATTCAACAGATATGCATTATTGAATATTTTGAACTTGCCAGTCTTTGACTCTTTCCCATTAATTGAAATTATATCTTACCGAAAACCTGAAGGAACAAAAAAAGACAATCAACCAATCCATCAATAAAACTTAAATAGTAGAGTAATAGAAATAAATCGAACTTGAACAGTTCCAAAAAATGATCAATTTTGGTTGATCTTCCAAAACTTTGACACTGACTATTCTTGTGCAAAAGAGCCAAAAAATTATGAATGTTTTCGTAAAATGACCCCAAAAAAATTGGTAAACCGTCAACGAGTGCGCTGAAATTGCAATGACTGAAATTAATACCAAAAAACCTTTCTTATGGAAGGGAAGATGATAGACAATATTAGCTGAATTAATTGTAAAGGAAAAAACAGACTTGTTGACCATACAATTTCTAAGAAATATTTAGACACCCATAATAATTACCTTGGGTTGAGACTCAGGGTCATCCAGAAATGTTATAAGGTTGTTGCCCACCTTAGGAAGAATTCTGTTCTGTTCCGTAATACTGAAATTTGATAGAAACCGAAAATATCAAAAGTTCGAGCAAGAAAAGAACCAGGGAGAAGTTTAAAATGCATTAAGCATAGTTTGAACCTAAAATACAGAAAGATAATGACTACACAGGACCTCAAGCTATATTACACGGATACGCCGACAAGTCAAACCTCGAAAAATAAAGACGCGGCGACTAAAAAATAAAAATTATTACATATATAAAAAACAATATTTCAAATTTATAATATAACATGGTACTCGTATTCATTAGACTCATCCATCATACATATTAATTAAAACAATACAAGATTCAAGTTGTAGTTATGTCTTCCTCCAAGTCTTCGTCGCTTCAAAAGAGAGAGAAATATTTGAAGAACACAAGATTCAAAGCTCTTGGTGACAGAAAGAGAAATATTTCTTGACGAGAAAAAAAGAAAGAAAAAAAGAAAGAGAAGACTATGAAGATTGCCATTATATTCATACGTTTTAAGCCTTCGTAATTAAAACGTTACGCCTCAACTACTGAACAAGAAAAATCCCATATTTACAATGAATTTGAAATCGAACCTATTGCACAGTATTATGCGCACAGATACAACTCATCCATTTTCCCAACAAACCAGAAAGAAAATGCAATTAGCTAACCATAAGGTGTTTGTTGCACCAGACCATTTCGGACTGGACTAACGTTAGGAACAAAGCTGGACTGGCTTAGCTTCGACTAAGCAAGATAAGAATAGTAAAGTGTTTGGTGGTATCGGACTAAGTCTCAGGCTAAAATATTTTAGACCTAGTATTTTTGTTAATAGAACAACAGGAAACTAAGAAACAAATGCAACGCCAGATTGTCCCACCATCCAGCAAAACCATTTATATATACAACTAAGCAATTAAAATATGTCTTCCCTCACAACAAAGCAATTAGAATATCAAAAATTAGCTAGGGTGATCTCCATGTCGCATAATCTTAATTTGTAGAGATGTTTCCATTACCAGAACCTTATCAACTACAGTAGCTTGTGTTCTACCAAACTCATAGCTAAGATAGCTTTCCTACTACAGAAAAGGAATGCAAAACAGCAGAGCTGCAATTCATCATTTTTCTTTTCAAGTAAGAATCCATTGCCCAACACACGAAAACTTGGGCGTACGAAGCGGCCTGTCGGGTAAAGGGGTCTAGCCAACGAACACAAGTTTCGTCGTGCAAATCTTAAGGTATTACACGCCACTTTATTTCTCTTTACACCAAAAACTTGTCTGACGAATATATCATAGCCCTACGAATATATTTCGTCTCATAAAGCTTTTGAGTAAACCCTAATTGTTGATCAGCTTAACCCCACCAACTAAAATATGAAACGCGGTTCGTCAGGCAAGATTTTGTAGGGGAGACCCTATTTTCTGGTGGTGACTTGGAAAAAGAAAAATCATGAAATTACCAAGAAATAAATACATAAATGATATCTGGTTTTCTATAATATTATTTATTAACAGTACAACAATTTCATCGTCCAAATACCCCATCATGAACCGCGCATCAGGCTCGTGACATGAAATTCCCAATAACCCCAGCAATCAGAGTCGTTGGATCGCCTAACACTGCTGATATCACAAATTGCACAGCCAATCCAGCCATCTTACAACACTTCTTCACCTTACCTTTGCTTCGACGGTGATGATTCTGAAGTGTATTCTTAAGGGTAGGAATTCTGGTCATCTCCAATTTTCTACTACTATTGCTTTTATTCCCATGCGACCCCAAAAACTCATGCCAAGTTTCCACAAGCATTTCCTTCGCACATGCCACATGCAAATTATATTCCTTACATTTTGATCTGTAACTCCAACTCCGTCCTTTACGCCCGCACCTATGGCAAGAGCTACTCACTTTTCGATACAGATAGAGCTTGACCTCCCCATCATCGAGCACCATGGGGAGCTTTGCGCAACACGGGTGAAGGTCGAACCCGCAGGACTTGCAATGGTACACGAACCCGGTTATATCCTTCTCACACGCATTGCAAAAGCGAGGGCTATCACCGGGCGGCCTTGAGAGGAACTGGAATGAGCACTTGGTGTAGAAAGGGTGGAAGATGGAAGGGGTAGGTATGGCACAGTGCATATGGAGATCGAAGTCACAAGTCGCGCACTTGTAGCGCGAGCCTATGCCGACCTCCTTGCAACCATCACAGTTGAATGGGATTTCTGAGTACTCAAACTTGAGCTTGTGTTGGGGATGGCTGAAGTGGGATATCTCATTGTATTTCATGGCTTTGGATTGCTAGCTAAGCTTAGTTTTGTAACTTGTAGTAGTAAAAGAAATAAAACCCTTTGGGGAAATATATAAGATATTGTGATTAATTATGTGTTAAGTAAGGCTCGTGTTAGCTTGTGGTTGAATCAATTAGGGTTGGAGGGAATTATATGTTTTGCGAATTGCGATGGTGGGCGATGGTGGCAGATATAAAAAACATATAAATAGCTCTTGTCAAATGAGAACATATACGAAATTTCACTTTACATTATATCTTTTTTTCTACTGTAGTTAATTACCTACACCAGAATTAAAAATTGATGTGTCTGAAGCAGAAAAGTGGAAAATGAAAGGAAAAACACTAATTTTTTGTTATAATATCCATGCAGTTGATAATCAAAATTTGGATACTTTGGAATCTTAATTCCTACTTTCTATTAACTCATACATACGAGTTTAAGTTCTCAAATTTATGCAATGTGCATGCATGTAACTCAGGTGGTTTGAATGAGTGTTCATGTTTGATCTCCGTAACATTACCCTAATACTTTATGCAACATTATTAAGTCCAAACTAATAAAATCATCAAACAATTTAGCAATGGATAATCTATAGAATCAACGATGTCACAGACAATACATCATTAAAGATAAATAAGAATTAATGCCACCACTTTAAATAAAATAAAAACATAAAATTGTATTACTACTTAGTAATTAAGTATACTTTTCTCACCCTTTTCTTCCAAGAAAGAATGCGTAACGTGGGGGAACCAATTCCCTCTCTCTTAGGACACTTTAATTTTAATTAACCTCACAAGTCACAATTGCTTGTATTTGAGAATTGCTTGGCATGTATGTTATCCAGTTGTATCTTCAACTAGTTTAGTGGCAATGAGACCCCACGATTCTCAATGTGATCAATATCGTATAGAACTTGTTCCCAATCAATCAATATCCGTACAATTATTGACAAAAATGCATCTCTAAACCAATACCACGATTACACGCAAGTTTTCATGACCAAAGTACCCTATAAGTTTTATGGTGTCAAATCCGACTGGGTCGAGTGTTACTGGATATTGATTAACAAGATGCTGAAGAATCAAATCATTCTTGTTAACCAATAATTTCGAGGTAGTTAGTTACTTTCTTTTTTTCTTGTTTCCTTTGGCAGGAACATCTGGAATATGTTCCAAATATAGAAGTGTGTCTGCATTATGTCGTAACTATATATCCATATCCACTGGTTTGAAGTGGTACTTACAAGGGAGCAATGAATATGAATATGATTCTTTCTTCAGTCTTTTTTTTTTTTTTCTTTTTTTTTTTTTTTTTGGTTAAACCGGGAATTCTCATTACCAGAGCACAAGCCAATTAAGTACAATTGAGAGCCCACAAGGGGCAAGCAAAGAAAACAACAAAGGAAATAAACAGATAGAATTTGGAGGAGGAGGGGATAAAGGATAAGACACCGCAATGATTGCAAGTGTCACCCCACCAACTCCTAAGCTAACATAGTTAGGTGGGAGCACAAGGTAGCCCATCTTTGTTTAGGATGTGCACCAGTGAAAATGAGGTCGATTGACCCACGTGCAAACGCTATCTCCAAGAATTTGATTGACACCACTTTATCCGCTGCCATATTAGCTAGTCGAGGAACCCATGACCAGCGATAGACTTGGAACAATTCTCTCACCTAAGAGACATTTGAGAAGGTGGGAAAAATCTTCTAACTGCCATTTTTAATGGAGCTATTTAGACAGAAGATGACCTCAAGGGAGTCAGATTCGACAATCACTTGCTCAAAGTCAAGCTCCTTTGCCCAATTTTAGCTTAACAGCACCGTCATGGCTTCAGCCATCACCGCACAATCAACTGCAATTTCAATCCTTCTAGCAGCAACAGAAGCCCCCGCATGGTCCCGGATTACCAACCCAACCCTACCCAGCCGAGAAGATTTGTTCCATGAGGCATTCACATTGATTTTAACAAACGAGAACTCCAAGGGGACCATCCAAGCACAGAGAAGGAAACGCTCGGCGCTACGTGCCTGGGTAGCAGGGACCTAAGTGATGCATCCAGATAGACATCAAGGTCTCAAAAAGCTAAATTCATGACATGTAGAGGATCAATTCTCTTATTGTTAAAAGTGGCGTCGCGTCTCGCCTTCCATATATGCCATCATGTAAAAGCAATAAGCGCATTAATACAAGTTTCGAGCCCAAGTTTGAGCAGATAAGAGAGTTTAAACACGAGCTAAATTTTAAAATCCAAGCTACTCAATAGTTTAGACGCCCACCAAACCATACCGGAGTAACCCAATGACAAAGAAGCAATAGATGCTCCTTAGTCTCCTCATGGCATTAGCAAATGAGGCACAGTGGAGAAGGGGATGAGCTACACTTGAAAATATCGCGTCTGGTTTCCATACCACAAAAAGTGTTTAATTTTTGTGGAACAGATAACTTCCAAACTGTTTTCCATACCCCTGTGCTAATAGTCGAAGAAGACGACGTGCGCCGCTTCGTAACCGCAGCATTTCTAGAGTAAAGCCAATAGTAAGTAGAGCTAACATAAAACGAACCCCTATTCTCCAAAGGCCACACAAGACGATCAGGCATGTGGGGGTCCCCAATATGTGTTTTTTGAATCTTAGTCAATTCATGTGAAGCGACAAAATAAGTGAGGAAATCCAGCTCCTAATTGTTAGATTCAATATCAATTAACAAGCTGACACAGAAGTCCCGATTAACAGGAATGGAGCTGCATGGAATTAGGTATCGAAGAGGCAGAGAATGGAGCCAATGGTCAATCCATAGCCGAACACTCTCACCATTCATCACTTGCCAGTGAGCCCCATGTAATAGTATTTCTCGAGCCTCGAGCAGGATTGCCCAAGCCCAAGAGGCACGGCTCCCACGTTTGGGTCTAAAAAGGAGGAATTAGGGAAATATCAGGCATTTAGGACCTTAACCCACATAGACTCAAGCTTCTGGATAATTCTCCAACATTGCTTTACAATAAGGGCCAAGTTAAACTCCTAAAAATTACAGAAACCTAAGCCCCCCTCACATTTTGGGAGACCCAAAGCATCCCACTTCACACAGTGAATCTTTTTTTCTTCATCATTTTTTTGGCCCCACCAAAATCTCGCCGATAAGGAGTCGAAATCCCCATAACCAGTGGTTAGGAACCGGAAGATTTTCATTGGGTAAGTCAAGATTGCCTATGCAACCGCCTTAATCAGGATTTCCTTCTCTGCCATAGATATAGCGTTATGTTTCCACCCTTGGATTTCCCCCAAAAGCTTGCCCTTAATATACGCCAGGGCCTGTTATTTTTATCTGCTCCAGATAGACGGAAGTCCAAGGTACATGCCAAGATCAGAGACAATCGGAATACCTAATATATCACATAAGTAGTCACTCATTGTCATGGGAACATTTGCTCTAAGATAGACACTGGACTTTTGAAGATTTATTTGCTGGCCCGAAGCCTCACAATAGGCGTTGAGGATTTTGGTGATGTTCCGGGCATTTTAGGGGGTAGCATGTAGGAAGATGAGGGTGTCATCTGCGAAGAACATGTGTGACATACTAGGGCTCTGGTGATTAAATTGCATGCCTTTAATAGAACCCTCCTCCACCACACATTGTATACTCCTAGGAAAGACATCGCTGATGATGAGAAACATGTATAGTGATAGTGGGTCGCCTTGTCGAAAGCCTCTAAAAAGAGAGAAATGCCTACATGACTGACCATTAACAAGAACCACAAAGTCCACCATAGAGACACATGTCATCACAAGAGATAAGCACTGGTCATTGAAACCTATTTTCCGCATGATAGCCTCCAAAAAATTCCATTCTACCTGATCATAAGCCTTGCACATATCAAGTTCATTGCCAAGTTCAAACTTTTGTTTTGCCTTCCTCAATTTTCAGGAAGTGGAAAATCTCATATGCCACCATAATGTTGTCCTAGATTTGGCGTCCAGCCACAAATGTATTCTGCATTAGGGAAATAATGCTAGAAAGTAGTGGTTTAAGACGAATTGCAAGGATTTTTTAGAGGATTTTGTATGAATAGTTACAGAGGCTTATGGGTCGAAATTGGCCCACCGAATCCTTGTTAGGCAATTTTGGCACCAGAACAATGTGTATAGAATTAAGCTTTTTTGGGCTTGCAACCCTCGAGAAGAAATCAGAAGCCAGGCCCAAAACCTCTCTGTAACCCTAAGTTCAAATGAAAAAATACCCCTTGGAACCTATCCGGGCCCTAGGCTTTAAGCCCACCGATTTGGAATACCGCCTCCCAAATTTCAAGCTCAAATATTGGCATAGACAAGCCATCATTCATTTCCTCATCCACCGAGCATACAACATCATCCACTACAGAACCCCAATTCCGCGATCATTCGAAAGTGAATTGTTTGATAAAGTGGTCATCAATAATGGATCAGACCCGTGAGGAATTATCTGTCCAGCACGCATTGGAATATATATACATACATATATATATACATACATACATACATACATATATATATATACATACATACATATATATATATACATACATACATATATATATATATACATACATACATATATATATATATATATATACCTTATGATTAGGGGGTGAGCAAACGGGGCATAGACCTGGGAGTAGGGGCGGTTTAAGCAGTTCAGGGTGGGTCTAATTTTTTTTAAATCTGAAACGGGCGGGGTGAGTCTTAATTGCTGAGGAAACGGGTCCCCGACCTGGACCGTTTCCACCGTTTCCACTGTCTCTAAGACAAAACTCTACATCACTCTCACTAACTCTCCCTCTCTTTCATCTATATCCCTGGCCTCTGCAACTCACTCTCTTGCCCTTCTTATCTCTGCAAGTCTAGAGACACTCAGACCTCGATCGTACTGAGACTTTCCCACTCTACGATCTCTCATCTCAGACCTCGATAAGGTGTCCATCTATGTTCATCTCTTTCATCTCTACCCACAATGTTCTCCCCCTCGACAACGACAACACCATATGGCCACATCACCTCACCATTAGAGAAGACAAACCTGGAAATCCAACTTCGAATTCTCCACCGCCTCGTGAGTTTGTCGCTTGCTAACAAACGAGGTTGAAGTTCCCTTCAAACGCTGAAAAGATGTTGTTGTGGTCGTCGATCTCAGGGATGACCCACTATTTCTTGGACCAGACGCCGGAGCAATACGGGGAGTGAAGCAAGGCGAAGGAAACCATGGCTGAGAGGAGAAAGAGAGAGGAAGTGTGTGGAAGGAGGCGGCGTGCGGTTGGATTTAGGACGGGTTTGGAGTGGTAGGTATGAAGATAATGTGAAAAAGAAAAAGAAAAAAAAAGGCACTGGCAGTGCAGCATGCCCAAAAAAAAAAAAAAACAAAAAAAAAAAGGTAATTGGACCCATGGACTCAAACGGGCTGGGTTAGTTACATTTTAAAACAGGTAGGGTCAAGTTCCTCCAAATTTGGGCCCGGCACGACCTATGCCCAGCCCTACTTGTGATATAGGAATATGAACCGTGCATGCTATCCAAATATCAAATTTAGGATATGTTTGGGTTGAGAGATATTTAAGTTTCATGGAATTAATGCTAAGTAAGTGAGGAATGTACTATAAAATGTTATATGAGTATTACAAAGGTATGTAAGAGACATTTGTAAATTCTTACTTAGAAAGAGTCATTTACAGATATTCTCACGTGCCCTTTAATGCTTACCAATGGCATTATTGATTTCATCTAGCTAAATTTTTGTAGTATATATTTCTCACTAACATGGCTTCAATCACTTGGAATTTGCAAATCACTCACTCCAAACATAGATTTGAAGATAAACCTTATGAGATACATGAATGTCACTTTTACTAATTGTTATGGTGATATTCAGTTTAAGCAACCTTCGTGATTAAAGCAAATTTTGTGACAGATGAAATTGCAGGAAGATGTCAATGTCATGAATGACTTGCAAGTGTAAATTAATGTTTTAACTAAGGATGAAAGGTTCACTCTTTTGGCTAGTGAAAGCTATCACTGTGGCTTTTCCTTTTAGTCTTCTATTATCTTATTGAAAAAGAAAAAACGACTTTGTGACGTTGAAATATAAACCTCAAGAAAAGAGATTTTCAATTTAAACCCCCACCTCTTATGTCTTATCTAAGTTTACCGCAATTTTTATCTACACCTTAGTGAAAATTTTAAAATCTCTCTTTCGAAAACACCTTAAACACTTAATTGTGTGAAATTGAGGAGACATTTGAACTTGGTTGTAGAAGATATATCTAAATTCGTAGCGCAGTGTCAAAAACCTGTTGATAACGTGCTGTATGGTTATTTTAGTGAGGGAAGAGGAGATGGTGCGTCACAATGAGAAAGAGAAAAGAGAAAGTTGGAGAATTTCCGTGATGATGCTTCTTATCAGTTATGTCTTTCTTTTTTTAACAAAACATCAATTGTGTCTTTATTTATAATAAACATAACGAGCTTACTTGCCCTACTAGTAATACAAAAACCTATAAGAAAGATTTAGAAGATACTCTTAAGCATAATTTGCTAGAATTTACTTAATCACATTCCTAAATAATTAGAATTAGAACTACAATATGGAAAAAAATTTCTAGGGGTGGAAAAAATTCCCAAAAATCCCGAAAAAATCTTGATCCCAAACCAAAAATTTCCCAAACCGAAATTTTGGTACGGTATTCGAGATTGGCTTCTTAATATTTCGGGAATCCCATACCGAACCAAAAATATATATTATTAATTATTATATATATATTATTTTTTTAAGGGACTTTTTGAATTAGACGTCTCGTTTTGAAATGTCATAGACTAAATATCTATTCCTTTTGCAAAATTGATTAAACATTTTCCCTACAATTTTGATACTTTAATTTAATTTAATTTTATTTCATTAGATGACACGCCCCGACCGAGATCGGAGCGTGCTGGCCGTCACACTAAGGTGACGTAGTCATGTGCACGTGCAGAAGCTAAAAAAAAGTAATAATATAAGTACGAATAATTAAAAACTAAACTAGCATACAAAGTACTAAATAAGTGCTAGCGTGTGAGTCACAAATTCAGAGCCAGACAACAGCAGTCCAAAAGAAGAATATGCGACAATAGTTCACCCGAAGGTGACCCTACAATGATAGGTGTCTGTCAGAAGTGCCGAACAAGCCCTCTGGGAAACCACCGGAACTGCTACTCAACTAGAACCTGGAGGGGCGCAAAACAAAGTGTGAGTGGGCAAAAACAAAGCTTTCGAAAACCATTTATAAAATACTTTCTAACCCCTCGCCGTAAAACCTGTATACTTCCCAGAAAATATATACACATAATACATATGCCAAATATGCTCAAAGGTATATCAATCATGCTCGATAATATGCCATGCCGAAATCTCATAACGATATGCAAGTGCCCAGGTATAAACATATCAATATCATGTAATCTGGCAGCCGGAGTCACCTAACGTCACCTGTACGGCTGCATCTAGAGCTCAAATCTCAATCTCAATATCTAAACCTGCCCACGAGTCGGAACCACCTAAAGTGGTCTGTACGACAGGCCTGGGTGTAAATAAGTGCTACAATCACGTGAAGACTGGGCGAATAATCGCGAGTCACCTACGAGTCGGAACCACCTAAAGTGGTCTGTACGACAGGCCTGTGCACCTACCTTGAATCCAAGGTGAGCATAAGGTGCGGGAGGTGAACATCACGTGAAGGACTGTGCCCTGGCCACGGGCGGGAGCACTAACACCGGGGATGCAGGTTATGAGCTCTCTAACTATCTCAAACCATTACTGAAACATAAACGTGAATAACGTTTACCTGGCACTTACCTGTGCGTCCACAGCACCCAATATGCATATGTATAAGTATATGCAACTAATAACGTACCCAACGATGCACGAAAAACGATAATGTAATGCATGGCATAATGAATAAACATTTATTCAAGTTCTGGGAAAATATAGTATATAGGTATATACGGAAAACCAAAAGCCCACTCACTGGTATGTAGAAGGGTCGTAGCCCCCCTGCCTCGCTTGTGCACGCTCGTCCTCGGGGTACGTGTCACCTATATGCGAAATAGCTATAAAAACGTTAACTTTAAAGCACATAACCAACTTCTCGTAATAACTTCTCATACATTGCTCAAAATGGACAAATGAATATACCAACGTGCTCTACACAACCTCAGGATCACAACCATATTTTTAAAATAATTTTTGGACCCCTCACGCGCCCCCACGCGCCGAAATAGGCACGGACCTACGCGCCCCCACGCGCGGCCACGTGCCATGCACACTGACGGTGTCAATTGACGCCGTCAGGAATATTCCGTCAAAATTCCGGAATATTCCGTTAAACCTAACCGGATACCGTTACTGCCGTTAGGAATATTTCGTTAAACTTAACGGAATATTCCTGTTTCTTCTCCGGTCTACCCTCGCCGGACTCCGGTCACCGGAAAACTGGGAAAACTTCAAACTCACTATTCTCCTTCGTTTTTCAACCATTTTCTATGATTCTTGTACCAAAAGAAAGCCCTAGACTAGTAGAATCACGCTATACAACTTTTAAAAGCTAAAAACCACGCGATCGTACCTGTCACAAAACTCAAAACTCGGCCAACTTCGAACCAAGCTTTTCTGACGTCCACTTCCGTCCAACGATACACTCCGAGGTTCCTTGGGACCTCACGAACACAACTACAAGCTTCAAAAGTCCAAAAACAAGCTAGAATAAGTTTGCATGAACAGTACACAAATCGGAGCTTATGAAATCGACGTGAAAACGTCGAAGTTCCTACCTGAAAATGGTATATTCGTGCTCCCCTCGACCTCACGATCACAACTGCACCCTTGGTTTCCTCGATCTGCTACGGTATAATGGTTCTTGGTGTGTGTCCCTACGTTTACAGTGGAAATGGGAGCTCGGGGGAGAGAGAGACAGGGAGAAGACAGAGGGAGAGAGATAGGGACAGTGTAAGTGTGTGTGTGTGGCCCAACACATGCCAACACCACACCACCCACCAACAGAATAACGAAACGAACTAGGGGCTAAAATGTCATTTCACTAGTACGTTTTAATAATCCCGGGACGGGATGTCACATTAGAAGTCTATTCACGTTATCATTCTTTTTTTTTTCTCCTATTTTTATGTATATCTTATTATAATGATTTAAGATTTTTTAATTTTTTATTAAAATATTTATTTTAGTAAATAAAATAGAATGTAACAAAACTCTTTGTTAGGTACGTTTGATTATAATGGTACATTTAATTACTTGGTACATTTGAATTTTTGGTCCATTTGGCTTCTTGGTACATTTAGTTTTTTGTACATTTGAATTTTTGGTACATTTGTTTTCAAAACATAAGTTTTATTACTTTTTGTTCTAATAATGAGGAATTACTTTAATTAATTATTATTTTTTTATAGAAAGACTCGATAACAATGTAAAATTTTAAATTACTTTAATTAATTATTTTTTCTTTCTAGAAAGAGTCATTAATCAACGGATACTAACCTTTTTGTTAATTCAAAATTATATGATTTATCATTATTATTTAGCATTATCTACAATAATAAGGATTTATCTCCAATCAACAAGACTATCTAGAGCATTGTGTATGAATCAAATATATTTTTAAACATTCTAAAATGATGAATATCCATTTTAATATAGTTTATAATTGGGTGCGTTTTAATTCGGGGTTGGTACGTTTTTGTTTGACGTTGGTACGTTTTCATTTAATGTTGGTACATTTTCATTTGTCGTGGGTGTACATTTAGATTTGAAAAGTTTAAATTTTTAAACTTAAATATAGTTGAAATTATTTAAAATATATAGCATATATTTAAATGTAAATTAATTTCAATTAATCTAAAATAGTTCAAGTTTGAGTATCTTAATCAAATATTTGAAAAGTTTAATCAAAAACTCAAAAGTCGTAAATGTTTAATCTACAAAAGTCTAAAATGAGACATCTAATTCTAATTTTCTCTTTTTTTAATTATATATAGAGTTAATTTCAACCGTTGGATTGTTTCAAATTGATGTGTGCCGTCCATTCATTTTGGGTTCCGGCCTTCTCTGAGTTCCCTCCTTTCATTTCAACTGAAGCCGTGCACCCTCTCTCCCTCAGCCACCGAGCCCTCTCCTTTCTGTCTCGAATTTGAAGCTCAACTCCGGCCAGTCCCAGTCACCGGCCCACCACCACACCCTCCCTCGCTCAGCTACCGAGCCCTCTCCTCTCTGAGAGTCTTCTTCATCCAGTGCACTGTGCACCGATTCTCTCCCAAATCAGGTAAATTTTGGAATTAATTTAGGGTTCGAATTCTAGATTAGGGTTTGTGAAATTTGTTCATGTTTTGGATTGGATGTTCATGATTCCAGCCGTAATTTAATATCTATTTTTATGTTTACCATTAGGTTAGGCTATCTTTTTGGATGATAAGATGCAGCGGTAAGGAATTAGGATCGGAAGCCTTATGAATTGCACTAGTGTTGCTGCAGTGGTTGTATGCTGTTACACTAGTGAAGGTTATATTAGCTTACTGTCTCTTTAAAAACTTTGCAAGATTGTTTTCTTCCTTATTTTATGATAATGGTTAGTAAATGTTGTATCTGTTTCTTGCAGTTAGGCGTTGATCCCTCAACAAAAATCCCTACTCTGCAGGAAGCATGGGATAATTTAGTCGCTCGTGTCAGTTTCTTATTTTCTGACGAGGTTGGTAAACAGTTAATACATGTTCTGCAACATATGAGTGTGTACATTTAATTTTGCAAAAAGCATATTATGGTTACCTTTCTTAATTGGACAAGAGTGTAAACTTTTTCTTTGACCTAGCATCCCTGTTATTTCTTTGAATTTGAGAGCTTTGGAAGCCCTTTCTGCTTATTTATATCACAGTTGTGCTCCAACTGTATGCATTAACATATATGCAAGTTGAAACTTTGTTCCTAAATCTATCTGTAGTAACTCATGCTTAAATTCCCATGTCAGAAGTGTAATCTTAAACTGATAACTGATACACCAGAGAGAGAGAGAGAGAGAGAGAGAGAGGAAGAGGAGGAAGAAGAAGAAGCAGAGCTCTTGAGTAATATGGAAAACATTACATGTAGCTGGAATTCTACAGTATCCAACTGTGTTATAAATTCATACAATGTCTTGTTTTCTTCTCCTGCCACTTATTTCTCTCAATCTTGCTTTTTTAATAGGATTTAGAGAAAGCTATTGCAGATTCATATCCCAACTTTATAAAGAACATTGAGCCTATTATTAAGAAGGTAAGTGACGAAAATCCTTGATGCTATTATCAAGCTCCAGGGAGATACGTTTTGAAATCAGGTGGAGTTAGAAAGCTCAAAGAAACCTTTGTCTGAAAGTGGAAGGTAATCTACTTTTTTCCCTAAGGCTTAGTCTGCATGATCAAGTCAATTAGTGGCAAACTTGTTTTCCTGTTATTCTTTGTCTTTTAACCTGTACCAATATTGGTCCTCAAGAAATAGATGACTTGACACGATAATAAACCAAAATACATGACTTCACAAGTCTAAATTGCCACAAGTCTAGATTCCAGCCCTAGTTGCAGTGCTTAACCATTACATGTAGCTGCACAAGTCTAAATGAAGGGCTTTAGCTCCATGAGATGTATATTTGTTGGATGGTGCAATGCACCGTCAATGGTGGATTCATATACATTACTTATGAGTATCATATTACGTACAACATTTGTTACAAGGTGTTTTTTTTTTCCTATTAATAACATTCCTAGAGTCTACTGTGTGCATATTTTCTTACTTCATGAGCTATAATTTCTTCAATATCCATTTTTCTTGTGTACTGCTTCAGACTCTTTGGAATCGTTTACTCACTCTCTCTCTCTCTCTCTCTCTCTCTCTCTCCAGATTGGCTTGTTAAATTTGGAGAACGAGGAATTTATTAGGAAATTAGTTGAGAACACTCAAACTAATTTTTAGGTGAGTGATCCTATGGTTGAGATGAGCTTTGTATATGTTTTCCTATCATAATTCTGTCTCCGATGAGTAAAACATTTACCAAATATGGGCTGCTGCATTATAATTTATAATAAAAAAAGAAAGACAGTTTTGTTTTTTTTTTTTTAAAAAGCAAATTGGAGCATGTCCCAAGAGGCTAATAGTTTCTAATTGATACTCTGCAACCTGGAATGCCCTACACCTTGCATAGTTTTCATGTTCTGTTTGATATTCATTTGGATCTTATTATTGCTGCTGCCATGGCTGATGATTTCAGAAGGCTTGATAGTGGAATATATTTGAAGAACAATTCATAATTTCATATTTCAATTTGGGATTCCCAATTTGTCCCAAAATCCCGAAAATTTGGTTTGGGATTGGTCTTCAAATTCCCGTCCCGAAAAATTTCGGTTTGGGATTCGGGATACTAGTTTTGGTTTGGTATCGGTATTTCATACCGAACCAGCCCTAAAATTATCCTCCCACATAATCTCTAAAACATTGTTCATAATCACAGTGTGCTTCCTGTTTTACCCTGCTAAGTTTGGTTCGGGTTCAAGCTTTCCGACGGTAATTGGACGATTCCTCCGATGCCCGCCATCAAAGTTAGTCTGAAACGATTCCTACCTTATTCACCTATTGCATGTCAAAATCTGCTTCAAATTTGTGACTTAATATAATTGGGCTTTAGAAAAAATTTCATGATTTTGTCTATCCAATTTAACGATTAGAAATTTCTCATTTACTAAGACGTGCTCCTGGGGACTGCAATTTCATCTGCTCCGAACAAATAGAATCTTTTTTTATCTGAATTTAGAAAATTATTGTCATTTGAATTTGTTTTACATCTGATTCAGTTGGATTTAGGAGCTATGCTTTAGTGTTTCCTGGCCTGAGTAGTATATAAAGAAAAAAGAGTGATTTTTTGTGTCCTAAAGTGTTCATCATGGTCAGTAAGATGCCGAGTCCTCTTGTATTCATATAATTACATTTGTGAGCTACTTTTCTGGGTTTTTGTTGATTTGTTTGCTTATCTGATATATACAAGAAGAGATGATGACACCGCCACCAACATTATCAATTTATGCATGAAAACGTAACACTAGGGCCAATCTACCCATTTATTTTTAGCACATCACATCTGCAAAATAGTAAAATATATGACAGCAGGGTTTTTTCAAATCAATTTTTGTTGGCAAGTTGTTGTTCATATAAGTGTTGATTTGATAAATGCAAATCCGGATCCTCTTTGTGAGCATCCCGGGGATCCGTGAATCATGTCCATTCATCGTACATCGTGCAATCAAAAATCTATTTAAATATTTTTATTTAAAATTAAACACAAACAATACTTGACAAAAATTGACCACACGATTTACAATGAACGGACACGATTCACAGATCCCCAAGATCCTCACCAAAAGGATCCGGAAAGGATCCTGTTGGGATAAATGCAATTGCTTTTGGCATTTTATGCAAGTGTTGATTTGATAAATGCAAGTGCTTGGTTCTCACTCTCCAGGTGAAATCCGATCAGGTCCGTCAGAAAATCACCCTGTACGCAACAGAGTGGTTGCAAGTTTCTTGAATGTGCCTTTGATTGAGGCCCACTGTCCTCGTCCTCCTCTCATCTTCTGCTCTGTACTGTCTCCTAGTTTGTATGGCTTTTCAAATCCTCAAACGCACTCTTTCTTCAGCAAGAAATCCCAAACCCCTCTTCGTCCCCCGCTTCTCCTCCTCTTCTCCACAGTCCGATCAAGCTTCATCACAAACCAGTCTCCTAATCTCCGACGTTGTTTCCATCCTAACCCACCAGCGCTCCAAATCCCGATGGAGCTACCTTCACTCTCTCTACCCCAACGGCTTCAACCCAGATGACTTTTCCAAGATTGCCCTCCACATCAAAAGCAATACCCGTCTTGTCCTCGCCTTCTTCCACTGGACCCAACGCAAGTCCCTCTGCAACCACAACCTCCTCTCTCACTCCACCATAATCCACATCCTTGCCCGAGACCGGCTCAGGTCCCAAGCTTATGACCTTATTCGAGCCACCATTCGGGTATCCGACGAAGCTGAGCCGTTGAAAGTGTTTGAGAGTCTTGTCAAGACCTATAGGCAATGTGGGTCGGCGCCCTTTGTGTTTGATTTGCTGGTCAAAGCTTGCTTGGAGTCGAAGAAAATCGACCCATCAATCCAGATTGTGAGAATGTTGCTGTCTCGTGGGATCAGCCCCGGATTGAGCATCTGCAATGATCTGATTCGGCTTCTTTCGCAGCGTCGAGGTGCGTATGCTGGTTATGAGATTTATAGGGAGATTTTTGGATTGGATTGTGATGTTTTAGAGAAAAAAGTGAAAAGGGTTGCTAGAATCAGCCCGAGTGTGCAAACTTTCAATGCATTGATGTTGGGTTTTTATCAGGATGGTGTGGTGGAGAAGGTGAAGGAGATTTGGGATCAAATGGCAGGTTTGAATTGCTGTCCAAATGGTTTTAGTTATAGTATTTTGATGGCTGCTTATTGTGAGCAAGATAGAATGAGTGAAGCAGAGGAGTTGTGGGAAGAAATGAGAGCTAAGAGTGTGGTGCCTGATGTTGTTGCTTATAACACTATGATTGGCGGGTTTTGCAAAATCGGAGAAATTGAAATGGCTGAAGATTTTTTCAAGGAAATGGGATTGAGTGGAATAGAGAGTACTTGTGCTACGTATGATCATCTTATTACTGGGTACTGTAAAACAGGAAACATTGATTCTGCTACGCTCTTATATAAGGACATGCTTAGGAAAGATTTCAGGCCCGAGTGTTCAACAATGGATGCATTGATTCAGGGGCTTTGTGATGAGAGTAGGGTTTTAGAAGCATTGAATGTTATGAAAGGTGCAACGGTAGATTTTGGTTTTCGTTCGACCGAGAAGAGTTATGAGAATCTGATAAGAGGGTTGTGTGAGGATGAGAACTTGGAAGAAGCGCTAAAGCTTCAGGCCGAGATGGTGGGAAAAGGGTTTAAACCGAATTCTGAGGTCTATAATGCGTTCATTAGTGGGTATATGAAACAAGGGAACAGGGAAGTAGCAGAAAGGTTGAAGATAGAAATGTTGGATGCTCAGATGTGTGGGAATGGGGATTAGATGATTTATCAATTTTAAAAGTGCAAAACATTTTTTGGTACACAGTTGAATACACATGAAAACATACTGTTGAAGGCGTACTCTCTCTTGAAGAGCTTGCACTGGAAGGCTCTGCCTATTGTCAAGAACCCCAAGGATGGCTGCATTTATTCCAAAAATGTGCTTATTCTAAGATGGCTGTGTAGCCGGATAGAGGGATATTGGGAAGCACTGAAAACGAGACCAAGATCTTGGTGAATCCTCACAAAAATCTTACAAAGAAAGAGTTCCTGAAGTTATGTCTAGATAGCAGGAAGGGTTTCCATAGATACTGGAGTGCTTAAAGTAATGGGGAAAGCCAAGGCAGGTATTGCTGCTTGCAAAGGTGATGAACTGAACATGATAATCGCTTTGTGCAGCCAGCATACCAGGTTCTTATATTCTGCTCATGAGCTGAGGCAGGGTCGTGCCAGGTTCATATTTTCTGCTCATGAGCTGAGGCAGATGGGTTAAATTTTTGGAGTGTGGAGAAAACCTGAAATCCTTTACCTGTATCTGTAATTTATTATCCAAAGCAATACAAGCCGTCTCCCGGGCATACCGGATGAAGAAAAGCACCGTTGCGTTGTAAAGTTTTCAATTTGTATGGCATGTATTCAGCTTTTGTCAAGTAGGAAATACCAGTAAATGTATGCTTATTTCGTTTCTTAGTTGCCAGAAATGGTTGTTGCTTTACTCTTGCTGTAAAACCATTGGTCATCAAGCTGATGAGCTTTTAAACATTGAATGAAACTTTTATTGATGATTTACAATTGCTTGTGTATGATTTGAACGCTATCAAATACAAACCTATGGTTTCAAATAGTTTTGAATACGATGTTCACAAATGTCTGCAGAAGTCGAAGACAAGCTATATTCATGTGAGAAGTCACAAGGACGGAAGTAACCAAAGATTGAAAAGAGACGAAGCCAAACACAGAAACCATGACATGAAGGCCATCGCAGCCGATATTTTATATCTGCTGCAAAACTTTGGAGGGCAGTATGGACCGTTAGCATGGAGCATGATATCCACAACGCTAGTCGTTGAGCAAGCTGCAGCTAGAGTGAGAATGGATAATACCTGTTGAGAAAAATGTTGAATCAGTTACAAAAACATCTATCGGAATGATGCTTGCTGCTTAGTCTGCTTACCCAATCTCCGACAACGATGATGAGCAGTATTCCGGGCTGACGAAGAGGGCAGTTCACGAGCACAGAGTAACCATCCACCAATGCCAAAGTGAAACTCCAAGGTATGACCAGACCCATGACTGTTACCAGATAGCTGCAATGTAAAAACATGGGAGCAAGGTTAAATGTTGAGCACTGCTTTATTCGAGTTTGACAGAAAACACTGGATTAAAAGAGGGAATTCATCGCATTCGTTTAATTGGTTTTTTTTTTCTTTTTCCAGGCTTGTAGAAATTATCACATTAATAAAATAAAATTGTTATTTAGCATTTCATTGGTTCATTGACCAATTTGATAACTAGTGACAGATGTACATTGGGATTAAGGAGGTCCCAAGACCATGCGGGGTTTGGGAAATATACATGTAATTGTCTTCCAAGGACCTTTTGAATATTTGATACTGGTTTCTTTTGTGTCTACCAAGTTTTTGATGTTATGTATGCTAGGCATATATCTCGACAGGTTGTGTCGACAGCACTCGATAAATTCTCTCGATATCACTCATCTGATTGCTTTGGCATATTTAGATATCTGTTGACATATGCGTGACATGGTTTGGCTGACGTCAACAAGCCCATGCGTCATGTTTCTATCTAAAACACTAGTATTTTAACACTGAGACCCCCTAAAATTCGAATTTCTGGTTCCGCCACTATTGACAGCCAAAACAAACTTATTTTTACATGAATACAAAGTTGCTAGGAAATGGCTGACTTGAACACTTGCAGAGTCAGGGGTCTAAAGCCTTCCATGGTAAACCCAAAGCAAAAAAATGGATGCATTTCCCTGGTTGGCTAAAATGTTCTGGCACAAGAAAAAATGATCAAATAAAGAATTAGGGGCCTTAAAATTGGCAAAAGGGTAAATCACAAATCAACCTATTTTCCAGTTTCCAGGTTGATTCGTAAAATTGGGTTTCACTGTGCTATAAGCAACTTCCATTTACATTCATGCTTCATGAGTCATGCATGAGACAAAATCAATCACCCAAATAATGAAATTATTTTTGGTTCCACCATTTTCCAACCAAATTCTAAAACAATGAGGCAAATAAGATATGAAATAATTAAAAAAAAAATTATGAGTTACCAGAAAGCCGTGTAGCTGTAGAACTCCACACCCAAAGACATGAAGAGAAGAGAAGCAGAGGAAAAGATGGCCTGACCCAATCTCAATGAGAAGCTGGCACTCGTCCCCACTGATCCAGGTACCTCATCCATGGTCAGCCCTTTTTGCATATCTAGGGTTCATCTTAATCATTTACAACATCCACCATTTCTAACATCCCTCCCTCTCATATCCTCTAAGGGAAAACCGAAAAAACTCAAACTAAAAGCTGAAATGGTTATCAAACGGCTCTGCGGCTTCGGAAATGTTATCCCTTCCTTAATCTTGTTCATGGAATCTGGATTGCTTCTCTTCTCTCCATTTTGCACTGTAACAGTATATTGGCAAATTCTCAGGTGGGTGTTTGGACTCGTGGAAAGTTTTGTAATTAAATGGTGATTGAAGAACAAGTGTGTTGGATTTGGACAGCTGACCTGACCTTTTCTTGGGTGGCATCGTCTCAATGGACGAAACTGATTGGAGAAATGGTGTCTGAGTATGCTGTGCTGTAACTGTGAGATGCTTTTTGTACTCCTTGTTTACGCGCTCCTGTAGTAAAGTGTATTCCATGAGGAAGAATAAGAATAATATTCGTATAGGGTTTGGGATTTTTCTCGAATTCCATTGTTTTATTGCAATTATTGGCGTTAGATCGACCGGATTCACTCTTCCTTATAAACGGTGTCAAGAAAATGACCAACATCAACATGTATGATACATTATATAGATTCGAACATAAAACCTCTTACTTCCAAGTAAAGAAGAATATCATCAGATCGTAGTGCTGAGAAGCCACTGCTCAAACTCTTTACATACAAGTTTTGATTTTCTAAAAAAAATGCAGTTGATCATATCCAGCCTATTTTTGAAATAAACGGCTCACACACACTCTCTTTCCAAAATAAAAAATAAATCAACACACCAAGCCCTACACTTATATTTATTGGATTTGTTGCTAAAATATCGGTATTAAATCCGAAACTCCCGCAGTCGGCCAATAACCCAAGAAAATGAAGGAATTGGTTACATTTTTCATATGATATCCTCCTTTTTTTAGATAAACTAATTATTTTATTTATATTATTACGTATTGTACGACATATATATATATATATTAAAAAGCTAGATTTTAATTATTAAATAAGATAAAATTTAAATAATATTTGATAAAATATTAAGACAAACTCTATTTAAAGTCTTTTTTTTTATTTCCTTTTTTCTTCTTCATCCCTTCGACAAAAGTGGCGGCAACGTGGTGGGGCTGTTGGGTCGGCTTCTAAGTAGCAAATTATTTACAGATTAATACTTTAATTAAATTATTTTGTTCAAAAAAATAAATACTTTGGTTAAATTATTAGTCAAGAAAAAGGTTACAAGAAGGTGAGGTTGCCATTGCTTTAGAAAGAGGGGTTATGAATTTGCCACTTGTCATACTCTCAATGAGTCCCTAGTTAGGGGAATTTTAGGCGATGAAACATGTAAATTTTCTGAGAGATTCGTATCATAATTTTCCATGGTATTGGTTTTGCAGGTTAATTTTTGGATTGTAATCTGTGAGGATCATGTTCGAGATGCAAAAAAATTCATTTATTCTCTACTTTGGATGCTAGTTTTGTACTGTTATATCATATTCTGAACTGACGAAGAAGGAATCTTACAAAGAGTAGAACATAGGAAGAAGATTACATATTGATGATTGCATTATTATAGATTGTGAGAAAACACATGATTATTAATTTGTAAGATGGATGGAAACTATACAATTCGTTCACTTGGTTTTTCTGTGTTAAACAAATCTTTCCAAATATAAAAACACGTCATTCATGAGAGTTGAACTTGAGATATTTTTTTTATATAAGTGAAAAAAATTATCATTAGACCGTAGCTGATGACACACTTTTAGGGTATGTTAGAGGTGAGCGACTTTCAAATTCTGAGGCATTTAGGAAAAATGGAGAAGAAATAGATGACACAAGGTTAGATAGCAAAACTTAGAAAAGGCACCACGTGAGCTTTACAATTGTATACATGCAAGAAAAATGTGTAAATGACTCATTCTAAGTAGTTATTTGCAAATCTCGCTCGCATGCATATTGTAAAGGAAGTAATTTTCAACACTCTATTTAGCCTTTTACACACTCATATTGAATTCTGTCTCTTGATTTCGTTTGATTTATTCAATTCGACGATCATAAATAAAGAAAAGTGTGTGAGAAGTTATAAAATGTGTGAAAATCACTTTCCCTATTAAATGACTTCCCTTATTGTAAGCCCTTGTAGTTTATTATCAGCAACAAATTTAATAACAATTGAGCCATTGGTTAGCAGAATGCACATCGATTCGGTCTCCAATCCACATAACCCTTTTTAAGTTGTTAGGGTTTCTAGCCGTTACGGTTAGGTCTCCTAATTTTTACGGTTTGTTTTGGGTAATGGCCTAATAATCCCTATTCTTGAGGGTTTGTTGCATTTTCTGTTTTAAACTTAGTCGAATACCACGATTTTAGGGTTGTTATTTCCTTCGTTCAGTTTCATTGTAAGGCTATTTAAAAGCTATTGTTACTTTCTAATCTAATAAGAAAGGTTCTCCCAAGCATTTGGGTGCATTATTCAAACTTTACGAGGGTTATTTGTTGTTCCTTCTAGTTCTAACATTTGGTATCATAGCCCAATCATGGGGCCTGAACAAAAGTCTGAAATGCTGTCACTAGTTCAGTGTGAAGCAGCAACGACATGGCTGTTCAAAGCAGTTTCTTGCAACCTACAATCCCAAAGTTTGATGAACACTGCAATCACTAGAGCATGCTCATGGAGAATTTCTTACGCTCCAAGAAATATTGGAGCTTGGTGGAAGCTAGGATCCCTGCGGCAGCACAAGGGATGGATCTCGCTGATGCACAAAAGAAGACAATTGACGATCAAAAGTTGAAAGACTTGAAGGCTAAGATCTACCTGTTCCAAGCCATTGATCGATCAATTTTGGAGACGGTTTTGAAGGACATTGCAAAGGATATTTGGGACTCTCTGAAGCAGAAGTATCAAAGCACGGCACTGGTCAACCAAGCCCAATTGCAAGCTCTTCGCAAAGAGTTTGAAGTGCTCCATGTGAAGGATGTCGAATCAGTGAATGATTATTTTGGAAGGACTCTTACAATAGCTAATAAGGTTTGAGTCCTTCCAAAATAATCATTCACTGATTCGACATCCTTCATATGGAGCACTTCAAACTCTTTGCGAAGAGCTTGCAATTGGGCATGGTTGACCAGTGCCGTGCTTTGATACTTCTGCTTCAGAGAGTCCCAAATATCCTTTGCAGTGTCCTTCAAAACCGTCTCCAAAATTGATCGATCAATGGCTTGGAACATGTAGTTTTTAGCCTTCAGGTCTTTCAACTTTTGATCGTCAACTATCTTCTTTTGTGCATCAGCGAGATCCATCCCTTGTACTACTATAGGGATCCCAGTTTCCAACAAGCTCCAATATTCCTTGGAGCATAAGAAATTCTCCATGAGCATGCTCCACTGATCATAATGTCCATCAAACTTTACAGTTGTTTGCTGCACGAAACTACGTTCAGGGACCATGTCATTGTTGCTTCACACTGAACTAATAACTGTATTTCAGACTTTTGATCAGGCCCTATGATGAGGTTTTAATACCAAGAACTAGAAAGATCGACAAATAAACCTCCTAATGCACTCAAATACTTGGGGGAACCTTTCTTATTGAATTAGAAAGTAACAATGGCTTTTAAATAGCCTTACAATGAAACTGAACGAAGGAAATAACACCCCACGATTAACAACCCTAGATTGTGGTATTTGACTAAATTTAAAATAGAAAGTGCAACAAACTTGTCATTCAAGAAGATGGATTATTAACCATTACTTAAAACATACCCTAAAAACTAGGAGACCTAACCCCGAAGGCTAGGAAACCCTAACAACTTTAACACATTAAGCTACCTACATATGTTGCTTATACGCGTTATGTTGTGTTTATCGGGATCTCTCATTTTTTTAAAGTTAAGAAATCTTCATATGGAATCTATTTAATGGAAGTTTAATCAGCGCTGATGGCAGTGCTTTTGTGGGTATTTATAATTTCCGTTATTCTATAATAAATTTGAATTTCATTGTTCGAAAAGTAAACACAATTGTAATTCTATTTAAACAATCCAAAAATCGTTTTTTTTTTTTTTTTTTAACAAATGATATTATCTATACTAAGAAAGAGGGGGGTGAGCTTAGCCTCACAATAGGCTAGCAATAATATAGTTCAAATTCGTCTTTAGCGAGAATTGACTCTAAGACCTTTTACAAGTGAAGAGGAATATCATTAGACAATAGTACAAAGTGGCTAAAGGTCAAGACTTTCGAAACAAAAATTCGATCTTGAGGTCAATTTAAAACATTCCTAACCTAGTTCGAAATTTTGAATGTGGTAAGTTAATTAGTGGTAAACTAGTTACATATGGCCTAATTGCATTATTAGTCTCCGTAGTGATAGGGTAATTAGAAGATAGCCTCTGTGGTAAAAATAAATAAATAAAGATTTAAGCCCATGTGATAAAGTATGTTAGGATTTAGGCCTAAAATTCAAAATTCTGTCAACTCTCCGTTAATTATTAGTACGTGAGCCACATATATTAGGCTAAATGGAACTCTACGTTAACTGTTAGTACGTGGGGCTTACATGAGAGGCTAATTTTATCTTTTTAGTCTCACATGTGAGCCTCGTGTGCTAGCAATTAACAAAGAGTTGATGAAATTTTCAATTTTGGACCCAAATTCTACAAACTTCACCACAAGGGCTCAAATACTAGTTTTTCTAATCCAAATAAGTCTTTACATAGTGTTTGGGCCCAAAATAATATTATAAGGTCGAGCTTAGGTTTATGTTTGGTCCAAAACTCTTCCAAAAATACTAAGGGCCGTCTAGTGGTCATAAGCCGCCCAGTCAGGTCGGTCGAGTCCTATTACAAGAATGATTAATTTGGGTAGGAGCGAATGAGTCGAACCCTAGTAGTATAAGAAGTCTCAGTGGAATGAGGATGCTGAGGTTTAAGAAGTGAATGTGGTCGGATAAAGAGGTTGGTTCAAAGTCCTAATGGAGGAAGGATTGGCCGAGATCTGGTTAGATTAGGATGAGGAATCCTAATCTAAGTATAATTCTGGTTCGGCCATGACGAGATTGGCTACTATAAATAAGATATGGGTGCATCATTCTAAGCCTCCAATTCAACACACAAACTGCCCTGCGTAAACCCTTGCTCCACGCGAAACCTCTCAAACACCTTGAGATTTTTATTTTCTTTTTTGCCCACACATCTTCAGTTTGGATAAACAGCACTGTGAAGGCAACCGGCGACACCTTCAGTTTTGATAAACATCATTGTTGCCGTAGAATCAACCGACCGCGGAGTACCTTCAGTTTAGATAAACAACACTGCGTCGAGGCCGACTGGTTAGCTATCCAAGTCTCGGTCGAGAAGGATTTTCGAATCCTTATTGGTAGAGGTAATCTCATTAGCCTTCTCGGCGAAGTGAGGTGTTACAGATTACTGGGCTCG